TTTTTCCAGCGAAAAGCTCGAATGACGTCTAACGTGCGGAAAACTATAAAATTGGCCTTTTTCCAGCGAAACTCTCGAATGACGTCTAGGATTCCCAAAATCGTGAAATAGGCACTTCCACAGCGAAACTCTCGAATAACGTCTAGGAGATCCAAAATCGTGAAATAGGCACATCCCCAGCGAAACTCTCGAATAACGTCTAGGATTCATAAAATCGTGAAAGAGGTACTTCCCCAGCCAAACTCTCGAATAACATGTAGGATTCCCACATTTGTAAAATAGGCACTTCACCAGCGAAACTCTCGAATAACGTCTAGGATTCCCAAAATCGAGAAATAGGCACTTTCCCAGCGAAACTCTCGTATAACATCTAGGTTTCCCAAATTCGTGAAATAGGCACTTCCTTAGCGAAGCTCTCGTATGACATCTAGGATTCCCAAAATCGTGAAATAGGCACATCCTTAGCGAAGCTCTCGAATAACGTCTAGGATTCCCAAAATCGAGAAATAGGCACTTCCTTAGCGAAGCTCTCGTATGACGTCTGGGATTCCCAAAATCGTGAAATAGGCACATCCTTAGCGAAGCTCTCGAATGACGTCTAGGATTCCCAAATTCGTGAAATAGGCCCTTTTCCAGCGAAACTCTCGAATGGCCGTAAAGAAAATGATCATATCACGGTTTTGGGAACGTCATGCGTTTTTGAGTGTTCCGCGAGGAAAAGGCTCATTACACGGTTTTCGGCTGGTTAGATGTCACCCGAGGGTTTCGGATGGAACTGCTTATTTCACGGTTTTGGTCACGCAACCCTTTACTCGAGAGCTCAGCAGTGAATACACCTTTTTCAAGAGTTGGCGCACGTCAGGCGTTTTTCGAGAGATCCGGAAAGAAAGCGCTCATTTCAGCGCTAATGAGCCTTTTCCTTGCGGAACTCTCGAAAAACGCCTGACGTGCGCCAACTCTTGAAAAAAGCGTATTTACTGCTGAACTCTCGGGAAAAGGGTTGCGTGAGCAAAACCGTGAAATAAGCACTCCCATCCGAAACTCTCGGGTGACATCTAACGTGCCCAAAACTGCGAAATGAGCCTTTTCCTTGCGGATCTCTCGAAAAACACCCGACGGACCCAAAGCCTTGAAATGAGCGTTTTCTTTACGGAACTCTCGTAAAACGCCCGACGTGCCCAAAACCGTGAAATGAGCGTATTCACTACTGAACTCTCGAGAAACGGTTTTTTGAAGAGTAGGCAGTAAATAATAAGTTTGAAAAGTGACCATTCTAGTAAAATGTTGCTTAGTTCACTAGAATTTACCGACAGCATGAAGACAAACAATTCCACGGAATGATGCAATCAAAACCGTTGTTCATTCAAGCCATATTGATCGCGCTTGTGGTTGAAGGTCGGTAAGGAAACCACCTTTTACCGCAATCGTCTTATTCTGAATTACAGTTAATATCAGACATTTTAACAACCTTAACTTATAAAACATCATGCGGGACACACACACATTTTCTTTCATCGGTACTCTACTTTTTACGACAAGACGTTTTTCTTTGTTTTCTGAGAAATTCGTGCAGGCCATCCTAGTGGATCGGAGGAAGATTTGCCACCATGCAACTGGTCTGGTGCCGGCACGGTGGTCGATCCTGGTATTGGTTTACTCATGGCTGGGCCTCCTGATGGGGACTCGTTCCCGGCTTTCGGTACCTTGCCCGAGCGACGGATCCTTTCGCTGTGCACGGCTCTGGCAGCCCGTCGCCCAGGAGCAGCTCCCAGCTACGATGACGCAGTAAACCGTCGGGAGGACTAATGATATTATGTTTGTAAGAAATATAACATATATATCTCTGAAGCAGTAATGCACACGAATTCAACTCATCAAAAAACTAGTAGACGACAATCTCCACAGCACGACAAAAATCGCTCTGCTTTGAAAATGCAGATGACGTTTCAACTTTGTTTGAATTCATATTAAACAGTGGCTGTTCGTAGTTTTTATACAGTAGTGAATCATTTCACAAAATGAAAATTTTGTCAGCTTAAACTGGAATCCCTCCCAACGGTTTACACACTCGTTGTGGCTGGGACGGTTCCTGTGTGTCAGCCTCCGGTGTACAGCAAGAGGATTTACCCACGGCAGAGTCTCTCAGGTTGGGATGGGGTCCGTTATTTCCAACGGGAAGCCCGACTAGAAGCGGGTCGGTACCGGAATCCCCCGTTGTCCTGGTGTCAAGCTGGTCGCGTGATGACAAATCTCCCTCTGATCCACAAAGGCTGGCGATATCCTGTGGTGCTGACCACCTAGCGCAGACTGGCTTGGCTGACATTGGGTTCAGGGAAACACAATAGCTAAACCAGCATGACTCCGAAAAGCGGAGAATATGCTGGGGCCCGCACAACCAGTGAGGACGGGCCGTCCAAGTGCCCAACTAAGTAAAGAAATCCGTGCAAGCACCGTGCTCAAGCCTTTCCCAAAGTCTCTC